TTTAGTTCTGACACCTTGTGCTCTCCTGCTGCTCTTAATGACTCTCTCCACTCCACAACATGAAGTCACATGGCTGTACCTCTAATCCAACCACCAAAAAGAAATCTGATTGGCCAGGGCACAGTCACATGTCTGATTTAGTTTAGTTTTGGACGGAACAAAATTTTCATTTAACGTACATTCAGAAGCGTTCAAGTTTAAGTTCAGAAATCCGGATACATCGTACGAATACCCATTCATAATGAAATGTACATGTCTACTGTCGGTATGACCTCTCAGCCTCTATTCCAGCACCCGGGGCACCTCATGTCATCTGCAGAGGTGGCCCTTGGTGCACGCCCATTGATGGGACTATAATGGGGGACTATGAGGCCCCTGGGAATCAAGCACCAGCCAGCCGCCAAGATTGCCCATATTATAACCTGCCGTTGCCTTTCACACTCTCCAGGACAACCTGTCCACATAGGGCCCATGCACCTCACAGCTGTCAAGCAATGCAGCCCAATGCAATGACAAGCTGAAGTGCATTGGTTTCATGAGGCCCGGTCCACACCATTTCAATGCATTAGTATGCGTGGGTGAAAAAAACACGCAATTAAATGAAAACACGCTACAAACTGGTCACAGTGCGCAAATACAATTTTGCTTTTTTGCTGCGGAAAAAAGACACGTCAACACAGATCTTAAGTGCGCTGAACATGCCATAAACGCGACGCACGTGTTTGTGAATCCGGCTTTATCTACTGCAAGGATTTCTCAAACTTCTGGACAATCCCTACCCAAAAAAAAGCAGATTAACACAGGTTGACTCAAGTGGATTGACCAGGCGGTAAACGCAACGCACATGGTGTGAATCCGGCCTTCTCTGCCGCAAGGATGTCTCAGAGTTCTGTTCAATCACGGTCAAATAAACACGCACATCTACATACATCAACTGAAGCGGGATCAACATAACACGCATGGTGTGAATCCGGCCTATCAGTTCTTGACAATCCCTGCCAGAAAAAAACACACATCAACATATGTCAACACATGTGAACTCAGGTGCGTTTAACGCAACATACATGGCGTTAACCAGGCCTCCGGTACTGGACAATCCCTACCAAAACAAAAAAATACATCAACTCAGGTGCTAAACGCAACGTACATGACGTGAACCCAGCCTCCGGTTCTGGACTATCCCTACCAAAAATACACACATCAACATATGTCAATACACGTCAACTCAGGTGCGTTTAATGCAACAAACATGGCGTGAACCCGGCCTCCAGTTCTGGACAATCCCTACCAAAAAACAAAAATACACAGATCAACATATGTCAACACAGGTGTGTTTAACGCAACATACATGGCGTGAACCCGGCCTCTGGTTCTGGACAATCCCTACTAATGTTTATTACAGCTTAGGACTCAGGTGGCGTTACAATCTGTGGCTCACCTGCCGCTATCAGGCCCTGTACGCCACTGTCGAATTTTGTTGCGCTCTATTCGCCCGCCTTCGCTTTGGCGTAAAGAATAAATCGCAGTCGTGTGGTAACAATAACATAAAATCATTCCATGTATGACCAGCACCAGGGAGGACAATAGGGAATAAGGAGCACCTAAACACAGGCAGCCAAACATGAGCTGCTGCCATAGTGGCCCAGGCCTGTGGGAGAGCCCTCCCATTCCCTCACTGCCCCCACACTGCATGCACAGAGGGGGAGGAGGGGGCACTTACCTTCCCCGATGCTCTACACCATCAATATAGGTTTGTGTGGAGCCCGCAGAGAAAAGGAGCCGGGAGCGGGAGGGCGGCTGTGCCCGGGTCAGTGTGCACAGTGACCGGGGCTGTGTGGGAAGCTGCTCCCCTGGAGTTCTACTATCCTGAGGCCTACAGCGATGTCACAGTGAGCTGAGTGATGAATGGGGAGGGCCGGCTTTTCCCGGTGCCTGACTCTGTATGTGTGTGAGTGTGTGTGAGCAACCACCAATAGGCTCCTCCTCCCCCCCCTCCAATCGCCACTAACACCGCCCAGCTTCCAGCAAAGCGAACGCTGATTGGGAGACTCCAGGAAAAGGCCCCGCCCCGCAGAGGACGTACAGGGTGACGAAGGACACG